AGCTGATACCCAACAATAATGTGGACAACACTGTGAGGAATTTATAATATAAAATAGGATATCTTTCGATAAGTTCATCAGATAATTTTAAATAAATTCATTTAACGGTCGTTAACATTCCTCTCAAAATTGTTTACATTTAATTTTTTTATCCCAAAATTCATCACTTCTTACTTACATTACACCGTGTTTTCAAACACAAATTATTCCTAGTAATACAACATAATAACGTTGTAAGAGCATTTCTAACAATACTCTCTATTTTTAAAGAGCATCTTTTCTAAAACAGCGAATATCTTTGATAAAAAGTAAAAATAGAGAGTGAAATATTTTCTCGTACAATTCTAATAAGATTCTTTATTCTATTAAAAATATATTTTATAATGAATAGTATTTGATGAATAACATACCTGAGTCATCTTTTCCTTCAATGATAATAAAATAAAGAGTGAGTTTGACTGTCAAAATATAAAAAAGAAAATTGGGCTCTGTATTTCAACTATTCTAAATAAAAAGTCTATTTGAGATAAATTTTTAGAGATTGACTCTCCAAAAAATTGAGTATGAACAAAGAGCCAATTAGAGCATTTTCAACCTTGCACCAATTAACTAATAATACTAAAAAAATAAAATAATTCAATTAAGTAACTTGTACTGATTAACCAACACAATAAACTAATAATACTAAAAAAATATAATAAATTTAATAATACATACATAATTTCAATAAAACGCAACAAGAAAGTTATAAATATCAATACATTATAATTGTTGCATAAATACTGTATATATATGTAAAATCGAATAAGAATACGAAATTTTTATGAGTATTTTGCATTTCTACTGGATTTTTGTGAAATACCAAAAATTCTTTCATTGGTTTACTCAATTTTTTACAGTAGCCGATCAATAGGGTCGAATAATACCAAAATATGCGAGTAATCAAAAATTTAAACACCTCCATCGAGCACCGTGCACAAAGTGCTAGCTAGTTGCTTGAAATGTGGGCATGTATATCTGTTCAAGGATCTTGCCAAACCCAATTAGGATTTACATTATCTACATACATGCATACCCAAATTGTCAATGCTAACTCCTGATTAATTGCGTTTCTTGTACACTTCTTCTCACGTGTTTGACTCTTTGCTAGTCATCCCACTTTGCCAACCAGCACTTTATGCACATTAACCTTCCCTATATGCGACACACTGATCATTTTCATTACGAACAAGAAGATAGACATGAACTTGCAAGTCCTAAGTTTAGTGGCGTACTTTTCTAATAGCAAAAAGCTACTAAAATCTTGTCAAAAGGGATGTTTTGAAAACGAGTAATACTACAATGATTAAATTTTATGATCAAATTTAGAGTTAAAATGACATAGTAACTGACTTGAATTTCTTTATTTTGTGTCATGTTATTTGGGTTCCAATAAAGATTCCAAGTAATATGTTGTCAAGTCATTTTGACTCTAAATTTGATCAGCATAATATTACTGTTTGAAAACTAACGATACTAACTTAATGCCTGTTCAAAAGTGTACGCCTGAGTTTGTAATCTCACTCCTTATCTAAGATATTTGTGATTGAATAAAGATTTATCCTTTCTAATAAATAAAAATAGAGTCAAGCTCATGGTTGTTGCTCATTGTTGTTGAGTTTTTCTTCATTGTCACTATAAAATCACCTGATAGTACCTAATAAGATTGAAGTTTTCGCAAGGTTAGTTTTTGATGCTATACCAGTTATTATTACAAGACAAGAATAAGATCAGTTTTCGGTTTGATACACTTATGAAAAAATAGAATTATTTAAGAACGATCTTAACATTTAATTTTAATTCTAACTTCTATGAATTGTAACTTAATCTTATTGAGTTGCGCTTAATTTTTATATATTGACCAATTAAAATTGCATCTTGACGTAGGTTGTATTAGGGCTAGCTCTTCAAATTTCAAAACCACATTTAGGATAAATTACACTCACACCTCCTAATATTTGATTTTATTATACGGACACCCTTTCACGTTTCAACAATTACATTGAGACCCCAATAGTTAGATGTAGTTAACTATCTTAATAAAAATACTATTTTACCCTTCTATTTAACACATATTCAAACCCAAAATCCTAAGCCCTATTCCTAACCCTAATCTTTATCTCCTTTACACCAATAATCTCAGTATATTCTCTCTGAGCGAAGAACTAACCCAAAAATCATTAGTCTTCTCTCTCTCCCTAAGCACATCTGTGTGTGTGTGTGTACATACACACACACACATATATATACATATACACAGATAGACAGAGGAAAACCCTTGCCTGGCGGCGAAAATTGTCAACGGCTCCCCATCACTGCAGCACCCTCTGATGACCACTCTCATCCAAAATGTCATCCCAACACCACTTCCCACCGGCGTTCACCACCCACAACCACTAACACCACAACAAAGCCATCACTCCCAAAACCCAAAAAACTCAAAACCTAAACCTACCTTCTCAAGGTATAGCCAAACACCTCAAAATTGAAAACTTGTCTCAGTCACCCATCACTTTTAGCCATAAGCATCGTAGAGAGAGAGAGAAAGAGATAGAGAGAGATTTCTTTCAATATTCCAGATTTAAGTTCTTCATGGTCAAAATGGAGTAGAGAGAGTTTTCAAAATTTTGAGATCTAAGTTTTTTTGATTTCAAATTTGAGTTCTTCACAGTCGAAGGGGGCGCTATACTGTCCATCAGTCACACACACAGAGATAGAGAATCTTAGGCAGTGGGGGGGAGGGGAGGGGTTTGTTTCTGGGTGTTGCAGAGGGATTTGTTTCTGGGTTGTGGACTCACGGTGCTTGGTGTGGCGGTGGAGATTGACGGTTTGTGGGTTTGTGTTGTGGATTTGGGGGCAAAGTGAGTGGGTTTGTGTGGTGAATTTCATTGGTGATGGAGGTGGCAATTAGTGGTGCATGGTGATGGTGTTAATTGTGTATAAATTATAATTGAATTTGGGGGCCAAATTTAAATTAATGAATGAAATTAACTATAATTGAAAGAATTTTGAAGATAAATTACCTTAATTAGTAGATTGGTTTGTTTTAATTAAAATGTTTAAGACAAATTTGATCAAGAGATTGTCAATCTCAATGTTATAAGGGTAAAAAAGTCTTTTTAATTAAATAGTTAACGTCTATCATACAAAAAGGGTGCAGTTGTCACAAGTGTTTAAATGTCAAGAGGTTTCAGTGTTATTTTTAAAACGTGAGTGAGTATCCGTGTAATAAAGTCAAATATCAGAGAATGTAAGTGTAATTTACCCAAACATTTATTAATTAGATGCAAATAGTAGAAGCCTAGAAGGTTTTAGTTCTTTTCGGTCTTCAACAACCCAAGTTCCCAAGTGACACGTTTCAAAAAAATGAGAGGACATCTTTGTCCCTTACGAATATATATATATATATATATATATATATATATATAGATGTGTGTGTGTGTGTGACAGTGTCACACAACGAAGCTATCCTACTTTTGTCCGCGAAATAAAATCCATCTGGAAATTCAGGAGGTGTTTGGTTTGAAACTGCTAAACTGTTTTTTGTTTTTAAAACTTAAAAAATACTTAAAATATATTTGGTTAGCAGTTTTGTTCTCAATTTTTTGAAAAAAAAAATGAGATTTAGGGCTAAAAAATAAAAAATAAGCCAGCTATGTTTTCTGAGTTTTCAGGGTAAAATAGAAAACAAGGAAAACAACCCCTCCTCTTTAATGAGGTCCGCCCATCAAACTTCCTTAGCAGCAAAATATATTTTTTCGATGAAGTATGAAATCCCTTAACTTTATGTTTTTTTCATCTCTTCTCTCTCTCTGTGCAACAACGTTGTGCAACGATCGCCAAAGTTTCTTTCTCTACTTTGGCAAATTCAGACGAAACACACACACGATCTGGGTCCTTTGTCTTTTTTTTCCTTGTATCTGCGTCTTTCTCTCTCTCTCTCTCTCTCACAACAATTAAAGTTTACATCTACATAGATCTGAAGCACTGAATCTGAGTCTGGGTTCAAAACACAAACAGAGATTTGTGTGTGTATACGGGCGTATGTGTATACATGTGTGTTAATGTGTATATGTTTATATTTGTGCGTATGGGTTTTGTGAAAGATAAGAATTGTGGGTTTTGTGGATTATTGTCCGAACAAATTTTATAAGATTTTTGTTTTTTAAAACTATTTTAAAAAATATATAACCAAATAAATTTTGCAATTTAACAATTTTCAAAAACTTTTTTTAAATTTTTCTCAAAAACTATTTTCGAATACTATTTTTTAAGATGCAAACCAAACAGACCCCCAACTTTCAAACATCAAATCAACATATAAGTGAGGGAATATGTTAATAATTTATAAATATTAGTTGATAAAATAATAAATAAATTTTATTTACATATGTTTAATTTTTATAGAAAAAAATTATATAATATCAAAAAATTATATTCTTATGTGTTGATGATTGAATGTGATAGTTACATATAATTATATAAATAATGAGATTTATTTGGCCTACTTACAGTCTTCTAATTTTATAGTGGCATAACGACAATAAAAACGTAGTGACAATAAAAACGTAATTTCACCGTTAATTTAAATATTTTATCCTACTTTAAAACATTATCTTATGTGAATTTCAATGGAATACTCGAGTGTTCCAAGCCACCAAGAACGTTGGCAACACAATGTTGTCGTTGTCTTTCGAATTGAGGTTTTTTATTCCAAGTTTTTTAATATAAATTAAACCAAATTAGGGAAGTATGGATCTAAATTGTATTTTGGAGACGAATGGGTGAAGAAGAAAATCTTTTATGACGTCATAATTTTGGAGCAAGATATCTGTCTTTATCCCCCGCCCCCCACCAACAGTCACGTGGCACGATCTAACCCTACTAATTATGGAAAACACAAGAACCTATATAAAAGCCTTGTCGTTATCAAAATACAATTGGACCACGTCGTGGCCCGCTTTGGGCGCCACAAAGAGACACTCTTCGAATTCTCATTGGTTCTTTCTGTTGCCCAACTCACAAACCTCAGCAATTCGCCCGATGAAGGGACTGTCACATGGGCCCTGCCATCCGTAGTGCCACGTTTCACTTTCAACCAATCACGTCTCTCACCTGTTCTAGCCTAGCCTCTGTTGTCACACGTGTTAGATTTCACACGCGTCATGCTTAGAGCGCTTTATAAATGTAACCCATTTGCTGTCCGTTTCTCTGCATTAAAGATCAGTGACTTCTCTTTTCAGCACAGAAGAATCACATTTCTAGAGAGAGAAACAGAGTTTTTCAGAGAGAGAGGGAGAGATGGATGGTAGAGGAGGGTGTTGTATAGCAAGGTATGGTGGTGGGTCGTACGATATGTCAAGGGTGGACCGTATAATGCTGAGATTCAGGCCGATCGCACCAAAACCGACTGTCGGTGGGTCTGTTTTCTGTGGTTCCACGCCGGAGAACAGTGAAGTCCAAGCTAGAACAGGCCGTGGTAAGAGAAGGTACGTAAAGGATGGTAACAAGAGATTTAATAATAGCAGAAAAAGAAAGGCTTCACCAGATAAAACTGACCCATGTGATAAAAGTAACTCTGGTGGGTCAGTTTCCGGTGGAGAGACTGTGGTGACACTGCCGTTGTTGCCGGAGACACCTGATCGGAAGGACTCTCCGACCAGGGGGTCTCCTAGTGACCAGTCTAACGTGACTATCACAACAAGTCCTGTCAAGAACGTACCGATTTGGTTGAGCTTTGATAATAGCCACCCTGTGAATGATAGTCACGTGGCGTCTGGGGTTGGACATGTGGGTGCTGGGCTAAATCGGACGGTGGTGATGATGCCACAGCCGGTGAGGCTGGTGGGGTCGTATGTGACGGTGGAATGTGTGACGGACACGTGGGTGGATGGCTTTGGGCTGGGTTGGACAGAGGAGAGGATGATGCATCTTGAGAGTGACGCATGTCCGGGATTTATATCTGACGGTTTGAACAGGGTTAAATGGACCAATGGGGCCTACAGGGAGATGTTGGGACAGGGCCAGGTGGATGGTGCTGAAGCGATGGTGTGGTTGGTGATGAAGGAAGGCGTGTCACTGCCGGTGTTGTGCCCAACGTTCACGTGCCGTGTGAGAGTCACGTGCGGGAAGGAGAGGAGCTCTCTGACTCTGCCTTGTGACGTGTGGAGGATGGAAGGTGGAGGGTTTGCATGGAGATTGGACGTTAAAGCTGCTCTGTGTTTGGGTCGATAAAAAGTGATAATCTCTCTCATAGTCTAAGTATGGTAAACTGTGAATGTTTTTGGACTTAGTTTGTGTTGGTGTGAGCTTAAGAGCTTATGCTTTTTTTGGAACTTTTGTCTACTGTTTGTTCCGACTCTCTCTCTCTCTCTCTCTCTGATCTTTTGAATGCTTGTTGATATGTTGATCAATGGTAAGACTTGTTCAGATGCAATACTTAGAAAGTGAATTATTTGTAATTCTTGCTGCTATCTTCTTCTGTTTATTCTTTGCTTGTCTACTGTTATATCCACGTGCATGTGTGTGTGTCTCACCTTAATCCAGTATCCTCTAATTCAATCCCTCTCTTTCTAAGGCATTTACACAAGGCCGAAGTGTATTAAAGTAGAAAAATGTTGTTAGGAAGTCTGTATTTGTGTGTCTCTCACATTAACTCTTATTTCTCGATTCAACTCCTCTTTTTTTTTTTAAGGCATCAAAACAAGTCAAAAGTCTGTTGAAGTTAATTGATTAATATTGTTTGGAAGTCACTTTCTTCTGCATATAATGATACCATTGTGAAGGAAAATTTTCTGGGAAGAAAGGTGGGGTTAGAAAATTTTCTGGGTGAAATATGGTAGAAGATCAATAGCATGTTGATGATGCCTAAGGTAACTGAGGTCAATTTAAAGTAACTGAGGTTAGCGCAAGAGCAAGAGTTCAGTTCAGACTGGGAGGTTATTAACTGATGTCAGAAGACAAGGGCCGAAGGCCTCTTGAGGCAAGGCAACAGCTGAATAACCATGAGAGATTTCTAAAGTGTTAGAAAGCTATAATCAAGACACTTAATTTCAATCAACCAAGATTTTTTCCTAAAATTAAGGAGAATTCCATGAAATAAGGGTCAGAATCTCGGCCAAGAACCCATTGAATAAGGAACAATCCTATAAAATACTATGTAATGCTCCTAAGGAGGGAAGAGGACTCTAGTATCACATATTACAGTCTGTAAATCTTTAGGTATAGTAAATAGTGAAAGAAGGAACAAAAATCTCCATTGAAGAGTGGATTAGTCGAGTTTCTGAGCTGGTGAATCACTATATTTTCACTGTGTACACCCTTTTAATCTCCTGAATATTTTATCGTAGCATCATACATGAGCCTCGAAACTCTGATTCACGCTCATCTTACGTTACCTGCACATTAAGCTCATTCACGTTGAAATACGCTATCAGTTATCGTAGTATCATACATGAGTCTCGAAGCTCTGATCCATGCTCATCTCACGTTACCTGCACCTTAAACTCATCCACGTTGAAATACGCTATCACATGTAATTCAAATTTGTATTTTAAATAAAGAGGAATTATTGCATCCGTGGTCTTATTTACAAAAGTAGATAGAACCACTCATCTAATAGTCATTTCATTCGAATTGTAAATTTGGATTATATAAAATATTTTATGGTAGACAGTGTAGAAATTCTTGGGGTCTATGTGGTAAGTAATATTGAATATAAAGGTATATCTTTGAGGATTGTTATATAATATCATCGATTAATAATAAAATATTAAATAATTAAGATGAATTATACTTGGATATATATTGGTTTAAATAAAAAAAGAATGATTAATTATTGGCTTACATTGACTGATAGTGATTGGTTTGTATGAGGCTTATTTTCTTATTTACATACTAGTTATTGTCTGTGTCTGGAGGCACAAAGTAATAAAAAATGATAAACAATAAACATATTTATTTTTATATTCAAAATTAAATCACAAATATAAAAAAGAGATAAATGAATTTAAGTATCAGTTGTAGAGGGGATGAGAGGTGATGGGCGACAATGGTGGTGATTGGAGACGATAATGGTTGTGGTGGGTAGCAATGATCGTGGTAGCGATGGTGGCAGCGGCGGTGGCGATGACGGTGGTGATAGTGGTGGTGGCGGCGGCAATGGTTATGGTGATAAAGGTAGTGGTGGGGCGGTTTCAAATATTATTTTTTTTAAAGTATTTATGAAAAATAATTTGTAGAAGTATTTTTAAAAAGTCACTCCAAACACATCATTAGGGGCCTATTTTTCCTATTAAATTTAGGATGTTAATATTAGTCGTTAGATTAACTTTAAAATAAAATTTAAAGCGATTTAAACTACGAAAAATAAAAGTTATTTTGTTTATCTTTTAAAATTTAAATAATAAATTATTTTATTATATAGATTATTGATTAGTAATATTACGTGATAATATTAACGTATTCTCACTGTTCCAAAGAATAATTCTTGTGTATGGGATATTATTAGGTGTCACAGTTGCACACCATGTCACCGTATCTAATATTTTCCATGAATGGTGTGGTGTAACTATGATATGACAGTAGAAAAAACTATGATACTTGTCTGATAATGGAGAATAGAAAGGACATAGGCTGGGACAGGTGGACTAGTAGACATGGATATATGTTGAACCTCAGCTTTGGGCATCTTTTTCCTTTAGGTTTGATAATCAACTGGTCCAATTCTTTCCTTCCAACTACCCCTTGAACTGTACTCTCTCTCTCTGCAAAACTTTGCAACCTTGCATTGGTTCCTTTTGCTTGTCTCCCATCCACCATCTAAAGGCATGTGAAGGGACATAAATAATCTGTGTAATTCCACATTTGCCTAACTCGTGAAAGTGAGGAAATGTACGTGAAGGTGCTAGAAGGTTTAAACAGTAGACGGTAAATGCAGCACGAGACGTGTATGGGAGATGTTGAACATCATTTAAAATGTCGGTGTCTATTGTTGATTCTTAAAAGATTTTGATGTATTGATCGTGGTATATAACGGGACGTGAGTGACATACCAGTGACAAATTGACACGTGACATATTATACTGGATAAAAGTGTCCCTCGAAGTCTCATTGGCCGAGACCGAATGACGAACATTCCGAACACCAAGTAGATATGCATCGTGAGAAAATGTGCTCCGATTTTTAACCAACAAAAAAAAAAGTTGTACACAAATAATATCAAAAATTGAATAAAAGTTTGACTTTTCCTTAATTTAAGTAAAAAATTGAGTTTCACTTAGTTTGATATAGATTTGAGTATGGTATTTGATAAAAGTTTTAATAATTTTTTTACCTAAATTTAGATTTGAGTCTTAAAAAGAATAAGAGCCGAATATGCTTTTTTATGTAACCATGAAAGGTTTAAATTAGACCATTTGAGCCCTAAAACTTTAGGGGAAGACGCTAAAGCATAAAAAAGGGACAATACATTGTATTTAGCTCAACTTTCCACTTAATGAAGCAAATGTTTGTAGTAACTCCAAAGGGTAGTTAAGTGGAGCTATAGACGAATTGTAAATCAGTAGTTAAGTTTAAAATTTGGCAATTCTTTTGGGTATAGCCGATAAAAGATTTGTCTCTCATGAATTCTTTAGTTTTGACATGAATAATTTGCCTCTGAGCAGACTGGCGAGGAAACTAAATTACACATACTTGACCACAAAAAAAAAAACACAAATGTTTGTAGTAAGACTATAATTACCTAACAATATTATATAGTCTGAATTAGGCAGAGGTATCATTAAAATGGATGCATTAGCCTACCCATCCTAATATAACATTATAGTTCTGGATTTGGCTCGTATGCCTTTAAAAAATAATATATTACAAAGATTCAAAACTTACACTTACAAGGAATGCTTTATGCACAGTTCATATCTCCCCGATAAACATCTATTTGCACAAAGCAGACCGATGAATGAAAAAAAAAATAGATACAAGTAAAGAAAAAATAAAATATGAAAGAAAAAAATGTTTTGGGGATGTAAATTACGTGGACGCAGAGTACGCAGTCGAACAATCACAAGGGTTTCTTATAGTGATAATTGAATTAACCAGATGGGTTGCTCAAAACTTGAGTTGTTAATCCACAAAAAACAATATAAAAAATTCAAAAGAACTCATATGCGGAATGTGGTTGAGGAAGTATATATTATAGTAATTGCGCTTAATGTATACATGAAAGGAGTGGAACAAAGTGTTACTTCGAAAAACATGGGTATTGAAAATTTTAAAAAAGACTCATAGATTCCCAGTTTTAAAGAAATTCCTGTCAATATGATAGATCGTGCCATACGGAAAACAAAATATATGTACATCATGCTAATTGTCTTATACCATTTTTTTTTTCTAATCTTCCTTATGAAAATGCCCTTCATATGCACCGTAAAAACCACAAGAACTCTCCCAAAAGACTAATTAAGAAGTTGTCATTTGGGTTTATTGGTCCTACAGATATATACATATATCCAAGATCTTTTTGTGTAAATTTTTGATGTATAATTCAACACATGTTAATGCAGCTCGTCTCATCACATGCACATACAACTATGCCCTTACTAATTGTCTTTTGGAATTATCCATGATGCCGTTTTGATAACATACTAGTCTTTTGGAATTATCTATAATACCGTTTTGATAACATACTTAAAGTTACGATGTAGTAAGACCAAGTCACGACTCAAATACATTAATATGTCGAGTTTTATGGTACCTTTTGTATTCAATATTTTTTATTTGGGATCAATATATATATATAAATAATAAAGTAGCTTACAATTCAAATTTCAAAAATAAACAAAATGACTTTTGTTATTCGCGGTTGAGATCGCTTTAAATTTTATTTTAAAATTAATCTAACAGTTAATATTAACACCCTAAATTTAATAGGAAAAAAAGTCTCTAAAAGTGTGTTTGGAGTGATTTTTAAATACTTTTAAAAAAAAATAGTATATGAAATCGCCTCACCACCGCCAACACCACCGCCACTGTCGTCGCTGCCACCACCATCACCACCACCACCGTCGCCGCCACCACTACCATCATCGCCACCACCACCACGGTCGTTGCCACCTAACACAACCATCACTATCTCCTATCACCACCATTGTCGTCTACCACCTTTGACCTCCGCTACAAACCGATACTTAAATTCATTTATTTTTTCTTTATATTTGTGATTTGATTTTAAATATAAATACAAATATGTTTATTGTTTACTATTTTTTTATTATTTTGTGCCTTCAGGCACAAACAATAACTAATATAAAATAAAGTAACTTACAATTCAAATTTTAAAAGATAAACAAAATGATTTTTATTTTTCGCGGTTCATATCGCTCTAAATTTTACTTTAAAATTAATTTAACGGCTAATATTAATCACCTTAAATTTAATTGGAAAAATAAAACTCTAATGGTGTGTTTAGAGTGACTTTTTAAAAGTACTTTTAAAAATTATTTCTCATAAGTACTTTAAAAAAAAATAGTGTTTGTAACCGTCCCACTACTACCTTTACCGACACCCGCTGCCATAATCACCATCGTCATTGTCGTTGCCACCACCACCATCATCGTCGTTGTTGTCGCCACCACCACTATCGCCGTTGTTGTCGCCGCCACCACCACCGCCGCCGCCAACATCACCACCATCATGGCTGCTGCAACGGTCATTACCATCCACCACAACCATCACCGTCTCCTACCACCATCACTGTCGCCCACCACCTCTCACCCCCCACTACAATCGATGTTTAAATTTATTTATCTCTCCTCTATGTTTGTGATTTAATTTTGGATACGAATATAAATATATTTATTATTTACTATTTTTTATTATTCTGTGTTATATATATATATATATATATATCATCTTACTTGTTGAATCTTGATGCTTCAAATAATAAATTCTTTTTAAGTATTATCTCTTTTGTCACCTAAACTTTGCCACCTAAGCCTAGAATTCCAGTGCAAGTCCTAGTGAGAGGCAGTGAAGGGGAAAATAGACAACAAATCTAGAGGGTATGTAGTATGTATGTATATATATATATATAAACTTATTTTTTTTTATGATCAATCTAAAACTTTGCTCAAATTTTGTTTCGGAACCTTACAATGGATTTTCACTTGCCTTATTCACTTCTGCAGTACTCGTAGTGTAAATGGCCGAACAGCGCAAAATTAAAAAGGTCTTGCCCGGAAGATTGTTGCTCAATCAAAAGTGCCTATAAATGCCCGAACATCAAAGGCCGGGGACCCAATTGATTTGAAGATTTCGTCCCAAAATAGCCCAATCCAACTACGAAATCAAGCACGTGGGTCTCTGGCGTAAATTTTAATAGCCCCCTTGCAGCGTCACATGGCGGTTAAAAAGTCATGACTGCCACGTCGTCAGAAAGTTTGTTCTTTGCTCGCCAAAAGTTATAGAAGTCGCATACTCGCTCTGTCCACTAGCCACGTATGCGTCAAGCTTTCTCAAACAAATAATAAGGTAACAATATAGTCTGAAAGTAAAATTTTCGTTGCCCATTCGGTTAAGTTTTTCTCGAAGACATGGTCAGTTGAGACATATCATTGCGAAACTAAAGCTCATATACCTATAAAATATAAATACTAATAAAGTATGCAGAATACCATCAAAGATCGAACCTCTAATTTCTGGGTTAAAGGTTCGTCCGTATCCAACTTCATATTGCTAGGCTATCATAAGGTCGTTCCAAAAATACTTGAGGCCTTAGGTAAACTATTTAGATAAGGTCCTAAATTATTTTTAGATGAATAATTTTTTTATTTATATTTTTAAATTTTAAATATTTAAATTTATATCTTTTAGTAGGTATATATATTTAAAGTGAAAAATAAGATACAAAACAAACACATTATGTAATTGATTATACTAAATTCAATTTAATTAAAAAATTATAGTTCCAAAAAATAAAACTGAATAAATAAGACAGAGTCATTGCAAATTCATATAAAATAATAACATAAAGTCTTATAATTTTTTGTACAAAAATATAGTGTGATTTTTTTTTTTTTTTTGCTTTTTGAATGGTCATATATTTTTAAAATATTTTTGATTTTTTTTACAAAACATCTTAGGTTTTTATTTTGTTAAAATTTATTAATATCATTTGTATAATATGCGCTAACAGAGCCCTCGGCAAGTGGGGGCCCTAGGCGACAACCTCACTTGCCTAGGGGTAGGGTCGGCACTAGATTACTTGTGCAAATTAATATAAATTTATTTTTATAATATTTAACTTTTAAGTGCTTTTATTAATAGAAATTTCGTGCTCAATTTTCATAAAATAGAGCACATTGTTAATTTTTTGTTTGATTGAGGGTGAAATATTGGAATTTTAATGATATAAATTGAGAATGTGAAGATCTTTTAGGGTACAAAGTGTCATTTGTCCTTTAAAGTAATTTCCCGATTAATTTTTGGGTTCTTACAACCACGTGATCGAGAGAACAGTCTTGGCCGTGAGATCTAGATCTGAGGGCAAGGAAAGGCAATACAAATTTAGTCCGTTAGATTAAAAAGCTCTGGAGACCAACGGATGAGATTTGTCGAAGAGCGGCGGGCTAAGAGGTAAGTGCCCTTTAAGTAGAGGAGCAACCTAACCGAGCGATCCCAAGGTTGAGTCTCTCTTTTTCTCTCTCTCGAGGAGGTGATTAGCGACGAAGGGTTTTCTAGGGTTTGAGACGCCCCCCTCACCAAGGCCCAACGGCTCTGCTCAGAGATCCAGGTTTTGAATTGGACTCTTGTGAAAGAATTTTTCTAGGGTTTGTCTCTAGTTTGTCGATTCGAAAGTTTTTACTTTTAGCTTGGTTTCTTGGGCGCGATATCTCCCTATCGTTCGATCTGGGGTTTTAGTTGATGCTCGACGCAGTATAGGGATTCCGTTTTCCTTCAATTTGTCTGTAATTGAGAAGTGCTAAGAGTCTTCGATTTCAATCAACAAAGAGGGCTAATTGAGTTGTTGGGCCAAAAAGGTTGCGTCTTTTGGTTTTGCGGATCTCTTTTAGGGGTTCTGGATCCATTTTAGTTGAGGATTGTGATAAAGTTCGCAAATCTATACGTGAATGTGTCGAGGCTAGGTTTTTCTCAAACTTAGATTAGTATTCTCATTCCGTTATTCGTTTATTTCTTGTTGCGTGTCATTCACATTTCTTAAATTTCAGAATTCGATACTGTTATTGCTGCTGAACGAACGTCATTTGTAAATACAGTAAGATTTATAATCTTGACATTAAACGGAATAACTTATTGTTTCTGATCTTAAATACGACCCAAAGCGCAGTCGAAGAATTTTGTTTTTGGAATTGGTTGACCACTGTTACCGGGCTTAAAGTTGGACTTAAACACAACTTCTTTGAAGTTTGGTGTGATAGGATCGACATCAGAAAATACATCTTGAACGTAGGCGTTGATATGTGCAGAGTTTCGGGGTTAATCTTATGGCACCAACGGTTCCCATAGGATTCACTGGACAGAGGGAATCGAAAAACTGCTCACAAAAAGGTCTTGCCCAAATGATGGGAAAAACTCGGAAAGTTTCTAAAGGGTACTCATCTGGGTTTGTTCCGGATTACAGACATGCAGTTGAGACCATGGCTGAATCAGAAGGGTTTGGTAGCTCCGGACGGGTTGATACTGAAATGACTGCTTCAGAGGATTCTTGTGCCCCCAAAAGGAAATGCATTAGCTTGAATGTGGATAGTTATGATCAATTTGAGGTTCCCATTCAAGTTTTATCATTGTCAAAGATGTCTCAGTCTGAGAGGAAGAATTTGGAGCATAGGTTGAAAAGTGAGCTTGAACAAGTTAGAACCCTTCAGAAGAAACTTGCTACTCTGATCTCAAATGATGTGGTAGTGTCACCCTCTAGCGATATCCACAGCTGCAGTGATGGACGGAAGAGACCTGCACCACAGCCTTTCCAGAGGTCTACAGAAGTGACTGCTCCGCAGGGAAAGAAAAGGGCTCCCCCTGGGCGAAATGGGCCTCGCACAAAAGGGTCAGCAGCAAGGCGGTTGGAATCAGGACAGCAGGCTTTGGTGCCAAGTACTCCAAATGCCATGTTGATGAAACAGTGTGAGACACTGTTGAATCGCTTGATGTCTCATCAGCATGGTTGGGTCTTCAACACTCCGGTTGATGTTGTAAAATTGAACATTCCGGATTATTTCAATGTCATTAAGCATCCAATGGATCTAGGGACAGTGAAAAACAAGTTATTTTCCGGTGAATATTTGAATCCATTAGGGTTTGCTGCAGATGTGAGACTCACCTTCTCAAATGCAATGACTTACAACCCAAAAGGAAATGATGTCCATCTTATGGCCGAGACGCTCAGTAAATATTTTGAAATTAGATGGAAACCTATAGAGAAGAAGCTTCCTGTAACAATGGATGCACAGGTGCCTTCAAAATCAAGCGTTCTTATGGAAACTGAACCTATCAATCCAATGCTTCCCTCCAAAAAGAAGAAAATCATCTCATCAGATAATACAGTCAAGCAAGAAGTTGTTAAACGGGTCATGATGGACATGGAGAAGCATAAACTCAGCACAGAATTGGAGGCTTTACTGGCAGAGTTGCCTGAAAGCATTATTGATTTCCTAAAAGAGAACAGTTTCAATGCAAGTCAAATGAGCGAAGATGAGATCGAGATTGATATTGATGCCCTCAGTGATGATACACTGTTTGCATTGCGGAAGCTTTTAGATGACTATTTGCTGGATAAACAGAAAAACCAGGCAAAAGCTGAACCCTGTGAGATGGAGGTCTCTCTCTCTCGGACTTCGTGTGTGTGTGTGTGTGTCTGTGTTATCGTGCGTGTGTGTTTTTCCCTCTTTGTTTTTAAAGGTTGTGATGTGTTCACCACAGATCTGACTGTTTTCTGATCTTTATATTGCTTTAGCTTCACAATGAGTCGGGGTTCAGCAACTCATCTGGGCAACCATGCAAAGGTTTTTTTTATGTCACTTAATGAATTTTTAATTGCTTTTGTACTGAATGGGTGTGTGGCATAAGGGGTTCTGTTTAGGAATTGATTTTTTATTTCATGTTACTTTCCAGGCAATGATCCAGTTGATGAGGATGTAGATATTGGTGGGAATGACCTGCCTATCTCAAGCTTCCCTCCAATAGAGATAGAGAAAGATACTGCCCTTCGAAACAGTAAATGCAGTAGTTCAAGCAGCTCAAGTAGTGAATCAGGCTCTTCATCTAGTGGTTGGTTTTATTGTGAACCTTCCCTGCATTCTTCCTCTATGACATTCTCAGTGCATTTTTTGAGTTTTGCAACCTGTAAATATACAATATTTGTGTTTATCTATAATCAATTAGAAGTTCATCCTGAGATGCCCAACTTGGCTTGTCATATAGTTGTCGTAAATTTGTAAATCTTTTGTTATCATTGGTATTACCATTTGTTTGCTGAGTGGAGCTGTTGTTTGTGCATCTTTATATACCTGAAAGCTTGAATTTTTGGCATTGTTCATTCTGATACCATGGTTTGCCTCTCTCATCCTTAATATTCAACAGCTATAACGGTCCAAGTAGTTGTAGAGATTTAGATGTGGCTAGCTTGAGGCCAAGGGTTGGCCTTATGGTGCTAGGACCATCCCACTTTCAGTAGATGCAGGTCTGTGCCACATCCCCCCTCTGTCAATAAGAGTATAAACTAGTAACAGGATTAGCTTGGTTGTTGCCATTGCTTATGTCCAAGAAAAAATGATACACTCCCTGGTATCATCTCATGTGAGACATGTATTTTTGCTTTTTTCTTTTTCAAAATTCTTTGGTGGTTGCAATTGCTGAGATGAAGGGAATGACATAGCAGGATTTTTTTTTTTTTTTTTGAATATCTTTACTCTGAACCTGGGAAAGTAATGGTGGAATCGTTTGCTGTTGAGATTGGCTGAGAAGCTGGAAGTTGGGGCAGTAAAGTGACTTTTAGTTGGAGGCTTCTTGTCACGAACTCTGTTCTCTTTCAGTCAAGCTTACATTCACAAACTTCTATCTTAAGCTTTCTTAGATTTAGAATGGAACCTTCAATGGAAGTTCTGTTGTTATGGGATAAGGAGGTGGTCTTACCTTAATGGAGTCTGCTGCCTCTTTGTTACTTATCCTGTGCTGACTCTTACTATCATTTGTGGCTGCCATATTGGTTTGGGTGTTTATTGTTTTCAGTATTCAAAAACGTCCAAGACAGCTACCTTACCTTCGTCTCTGAATAGAAGGCTGGATGCTTTTGAGGGGGAAGGCATTGTCATTGTGGCATAGGGATAGGGTCAAGGTTGTCGACTCTTTACCCCCCATATTCTGGATTTGTAGCTTTGCTTCTATCATGAACAGTCATGCCATCCAAAGCTTCCTCATATCACAGCATATGCATACTTCGGATTTTTTCTCTAGGTTTTTTCCTCTAGGGTCCGTTTGGTTAGGAAAAAAAAAATGTTGAAAAATGAAAATGATAGAAAGTGAAGTGAAATAAAGGAAAATGATAGAAAATATATTTTCATGCATGTATTTGGTTAGAATGAAATATTTACGAGTAAGTTTTAAAAAATTTTAATGTATTGTTTTTGAAAGAAAGAAATGTCATAAGAAGTTTTTATAATTGTCTAAATTATCCTTAAGGATATTAAATCAGTCTAAAAAAGAAAAAAAATATGTAATTATAATTGAAAGTTTAAAATTTTTTAAAAAATGGTTCAAAACCTAATCTTTGGGTCAAATCATATGATTAATCAAATTAATACCAAAATTTTTTAAAATTAATAACCAATAAAATATTTTAAGAAAAATAAAGGTAAAATAGGAAGTTAGTTATAGATCACAACTTTTTTGCATTTCCTTGAGTTTTTTACAAGAAAAAAAAGTTGGTTATTTGTGAGAAAGTTCAAGCATGAAAGAAAATTATTTTTCCTATAATTTTCTTTTTCATCTTTACCAGACACATGAAAATCTTAAAAAGCTTGTCTATCTTGCATTTTCTATCATTCTCCTGCTAAATAAACAAACTCCTAGGATCTGTTTAGTTAGAAAGAAAAGAATGGTGAAAGGTGAAAGTGGTAGAAAGTGAAGTGAAAGAAAGGAAAAATAAAAGAAAATATATTTTTTTTCATGTATTTGGTTAGCATGAAAATTTTGAAAGAAAATTTTTAAAAAAATTCGTTCTGTTGTTTGAAAGGTAATAAAATTGTTAGAAAATTTTGAGAATTGTCTAAAATATTCTTATCTGTATTGAAGGAGATGCTAAACTTGAAAGATTGTGTATTTACCTACCTTTTGTGATAAAATAAATAAATATCAAATATTATTAATATAGAAGCAATGCATGGTTGATACATCACCATTTTTATCTCTTCAAATAGAGATGTTAAAATTTAGAAAATGAAGTGAAAGAATAAAAAATAAGGAAAAAAATATATTTTCATGTATGTATTTGTTTAGCATGAAAAACTTGTAAGAAAATTTAAAAAAAAATTCATTCTATTGTTTAAAAGAAAAGAAAGTTTATTTAATTGTTTAAATTACCTTTAATTATATTAAATCAATCTAAAGAAAAAAAATATTATTATTAAATTACCCTTAATTATACTAAATCAAGTTTAGTTTTGTTGAAGACTCTTTTTTTCAGTTCCCTAGTAGCCCACATTTTCACGGGAAAATTTTTTCGGTTAATTTTGCAAGAAACAAACAGTGTCATATACAAGAAAATTTAGTGGACCCGACGATCTTACTTTCATGTATTTTCTCCCTTTTTTCTTGCTAGACAAACAAGAAAAGAGTTCCATTTTTTTTCCCTTTCTTGTGTTTTCTTCCATTAATTTGCTAACCTAACAAACCCCTAAAGATGCTATCCAATGGGACAGCGGGAAAACGTTTAAAATCTAGTTTATATAGTGTGTAATAACTTATTTGTACCTAGGCCCTAAAACCCATCTGGTTTTTCAACACTCAACAATTTTGCGTGGAAGTTTCATCCACCTTTTGAATGCACTATGGCCCTGTTCGAACACCCCCTTATCTACTAACTTACTTCGAGTGAACTTTTAATGTCCTTCAAACATGGAACATTTGAATATCAATTTCTAGAACATCATCGGAATGACCTTCGAACACTGCTTCCAGCAAAGCATACTGGATTGACCTTTCACCGATGACACTGCATTGTTTGAACAAACATGTGATCCTTAGATTTTTGAGATTTTTAAGCTTTGCCGACTAATCCACACATAATGTAAGGTATGTTGGTGTCTTACCTAACGATATGCTTTAATCCTGAGGTTTCATACCGTGGTCACATTGTATGGAAGATCTTCATCACGGTTACTCTTTAAATCCTATGTTTTTCAGATTCATGAGATCATTGACCCTGAATTACAACACAGTATTGTGTAGTGCCATCGTGCCTTTTCATTCTTTGATATGGTTATGAAACTTTTCCCTGAAGGCAAAAAGGATCTTGGATTTGCACAAGTTTAACTGTGTACATATTAAGTATATATGCAGTAGATTACATGTGCTTCATAGTTCATGCATTCAAAGTTTCAGAAAATTTTCTAATGCAGACATTTCGACTTTCAAGTTCCATACCAAGGGATGCCTTATGTCACCAAAATGAATAGAGCCTTTAATGTTTCAGTGTAATTGGCAATCTTAAATGTACCTGGTGACTCCACAACAGAAATATTCACATACATATTTTTCAGAAGAAGTGTACAGTGATTTAACACAAACTCCACATCATAATCTTGGAGTATCAAGCCATGGTAAATTTTATTATAGTAAATGTATCATACGATGTATCAAAGTGGTCAATGTATGTAAGTAGTTTCCATTAGAGGGAGTTTTACATGCGAAGTTTATTGTGACAATTTGTGAGAAAGTGACAACTATGAACAGATGTTTTTACATTAAAATTGTTTACTGCTGTCAATTAGAGTCATGAGCCTGCTGTATCCTTCGCATATAAGAATTTTGAATATCGGAATTTGGAATCTTAGTAGCACAGACTTGTATGTTGGGGCTATTTCCATTCAATATTAGGGAGTTCTGACATGTCTCTGGATTGCCTTTGACGTTAGCTTAATTTGAAAATAAATTTGAATTTTGTAGTTCCAGACTCTTGGCTGACATTTTATCAAGCTAGGTGTATTCAGCAATGTTTTTTCCTTATTTTTTGGGCCCATGAAGACTTAAAGTTCTTGTTTTGCACAGAGCTTAGAACATGATTAGCTGTTTTTTTCTTTTTCACTTATCTATTGGTAGCATCTTTGGGGTACTAATACTTACTTTGAATAATCACTAAGTTTCTATTTTCTCCGTTTTCATTGTTCAATGGTGGGTAATCTTTATTATATTCTTTGAACTATGGTCAGCTTAGAAAGGTGTTCTTTTTTGGGTTTTGATTGGGGAATGCTTATTTTTCAGATTCAGACTCGGGCAGTTCTTCTGGCCATGAATCACATGGTGCCAAGGTTTCTGTGCCTGTGAGTAATGCAAAGGTATGCCTTGATCAAGAATATTTTGTTGGCTGTCCTTAGAGCTTTTATGCCAGTTAAATTTATTGGTTTCTTGTTCTCTCATTGCATGGCCAAGTGTTAATTTTCATTTTTGCTGGTTTCTTCATTTGTAGGATGCATCGCATTCCGGAGCAAATATAGAGCAGCAGAAGAATGATCTTGGTGATCCAGACACTGGAGATTGTCAGTTTCTGGGTTCTTTGAATAATTTTGATTGTGCCAATTGTATGATATGGGGTTGTATCACACTCCTGCCCAATTCTAAGGTTATGCTCTTCTGTCTTGCACAGATTTGTTGAATGACTCTGGCCAATTTGAGCAGAATTCCCAGTCTAAGCCAATTTCTATTGAGGCCGATGACCATCAAGAGGGTAAGCAATGAAAATCATGAAGAAAATGTATGATGTTAGATCTTGCGGCATCATCTCACCCATCATACTATGACATTTTAGGGGAGAGTGCTCTGTCTGATAGGCAAGTCTCCCCCGAAAAGCTTTACCGCGCAGCTCTGTTGAGAAGCCGTTTTGCAGATACCATACTCAAAGCTCAAGAAAAGACCCTTGAGAAGGTGTGGTACAGTTTTTGTATATTTGTGACATGTTAGCTTGTTTCATGGTATCCAATTCCCATTTATATCACTCTCGTCTTATCATTAACAATTTGAGACGACTTGGTCAGGGTGAAAAGCAGGATCCTGAGAAACTGCGGCTTGAGAAGGAGGAGCTTGAAAGGCGGAGAAAAGAAGGTTGGAACTCGTAAATTATTTAAGCTTGAAAAATGTCATCTTTGGCTGATGCGCATTGCTTTGTGTACAAAGTTGGAGGATCAATCCAGTGTCTTTTTTTAAAAGAAATTCTTCCTCATAATAATTTGCAATTCTGTTGTTCTTAGAAAAAGCTCGATTACAAGCAGAAGCCAAGGCTGCAGAAGAGGCTCGAAAAAAAGCTGAAGCTGAAGCTGCAGCTGAAGCCAAAAAGAAGAGAGAACTGGAGAGGGAAGCAGCACGTCAGGCTTTGCAGAAGGTATGTACAGGCAAAAGCCAATTGGAACCTTTCCCAGAGTCTTCAAGTGTAACCTTGCAATATTATGTTTTCGCAGATGGAAAAGACAGTAGATATCAATGAGAACTGCCGGTTTATGGAAGATCTAGAAATGCTTAGGGCTGGCCCAGATGAACATTTGCAGAGTTTAATAGAGGAGACGAGCCCAGAGCATTCTCAAAATGGTCTTGGTAGTTTTAAATTTCCAACTAGTAGTAATCCGTTAGAGCAACTTGGGTTATACATGAAGGTGGACGATGAGGAGGAAGAAGAAGTTGGGCGCCAAAGTGTTCCAGATGCTGTAAACGACGTGGAGGAAGGAGAGATTGATTGATCGGTTTGTTTGTTTTTTTGTTTTGAAATCACTTAAGTGAGTTTGGAGGATGCTGATCATGTTGACCCCTAGGCATGTGCTTGTGGTTCTTCCATTTTGTCCTTCCTGTTTTGATGCTGCAGGGTAAAACATTCTCTCTCCGCATCATTCGCTGCTAAGTCTGAAGTTTTGATACAACAGAAAGGGTTTTCCCCGGAAAAAAGTGATGAGCATGTCGCTTTGGACTTGGTTTGGGTTGATTGGGAATGGTATGTATTGATTTGGACTTGGAAGGATTGGGGTTTCACTATGAACGTTGAAGCATGGTAGCGTCTTTGGAGCTCTATTTTGCTACATAACTGCAGAGGATTGCTTGTGGGATCTGGCAAACAGAAGTATCCATCAGTAGTTCTCCTTTCTTTTCTGCTTTTTCTTTTTATTTTTCGTGTAAAAAAGAATTATCATGTTAGGAACCAATCCAATCATCGGTGAATTCACCGTTGGAATTAAATGATGCTCAACAAAGAGTAGTTCTGTGGCATGTTACACATTCACCCTCTTTGACGGACTAAGTTTGTTCCGTACTTAAATTTTGGATAGGTGGCGGCTAAAGGCAAAAGATGATTTGTTGCATTATAGTCTACTATGTTTATGTTATACTTTTGGACAAAGAGCAGCCTATGTAGTTATGCAATATGTACTTTTCATGTTTGTGTGTGTAGCTTGGATGCTGAAACAGGAGAGTACCATGGCGTAAAATTAGATAGAAATAAGAGAGAAAAATGTTCAACAATAAGTCTGACTTGGAAGCCCAACTCCAAACTGCCAAAACTCTTGTATTTCTAAAACTGTTCATAGCAGATACTAAAAAAGTCTATTCTCTGCACTCTCTCAAGGTCCAGATTAGCTCGCTCACTGCTGCTACATAGTAGAGTGGGTGGATCCGGTAAGTGGTGGGGTATCAACCAACCACTGATTCTACATAACCATCCCTCCATCAATGGTGAAAACCTGCAATGTATAGTAGGTATTCTCCTTCAACAATCAAACTTCTCAACAAAATGAAAAGTTTGCTGTAAACCACAGTAGAAGAGGAAACGAAATGATCAAATTACATAGCCATTACCTGTCCAGTAATGTAACAAGCAGCGGGATTTAGTGCCAAGAATTCCACTAGTCCTGCAACTTCTTCTGGTTGCCCATATCGTCCTGTGATTGCAGACAATGAATGAGCACTATGTCCTTTATGTGTTCTAGGTTTAATCACTTTTTCAAATAGATGAACTTATTGGGCTGAACTAGGGAAATCTTTTTTGCTAGATAATTAAGTCTATAGCTGTTGATTTCTGAACAAAGGCATGCTTGGAACACAAATATTTGGAAATCTGAAAATATTGCTGTCGTTTGTAGAGTCATTGATCACACTGTTCATATTATAATCGATTGTTTGATCATTAGAAACAGTTTCAATAACCCAAAATGAGTCCGAATACAACCTCAAAGCCCCGCTTTCTTCATTAACCAGAAATCCTTCAACCATTGGAATAAATTCCAAATGGTAGCTATTGACCCTTTAATCTCACTTCTGGTCAAATTTTTGCAAGAGATGACTACACAAAAAAAATTGCTGACTAATAAGACATAAAAGTCAATGTAGCTACGAAGGTAATCTCAGTATCATAAGTCGCATATTCGATGTGATTAAAAGATCAGCAATAGTAATTAAGTATAATTGATGATACCAATTAAGTATAGTGAACGGATAAGTGATAAGAAGCATTCTTTTTGCATCCAAAAAAAGCTAGTTATTTTTCATTTTTACCTAAGGGAATGGTCTGCAAGATTTTTCTTTCAATTTCATCACCCAACTTGGCAGTCATATCAGATGCAATAAACCCTGGAGCCACAGCATTAACCTGTGGAAAAAGAAACACATATAAATAACACCTAAGTTTGCTTAAACATGCATAGTAATTTTTGGTTTTTATACGATCAGTTTTATCCATGCTCTTAGACATGTTTTGCTGGTAAAATGATCAGGGACTAATTCAGAATACTTACATTTATATTTCTACTTGCATATTCTTTTGCAACACTCTTCGTGAGGCCAATCACTCCTGCTTTTGCAGCACTGTAATTGGCTTGACCAGCATTGCCAACCAAACCAACAACAGATGCGATGTTGATTATTCTACCCTGCCAAATTGAAAGTAGGCTGTGGTAGAAGCAACAAAGGTTAAGACAAACACTCTCTGCATAAACTTTGCATAAATGCACATAAATAGGCTGGATCAATTCACTAACACCTCATTTCATTTCTGGAAGAAACGGAAGCGCCAACTAGCTTAACCAAGCCAACATAAATGCATGCATGACACAAACAAATTATATGATTTAGCCAACAAGGCTTATCTTTATAATGTTTGGCAGTCATCTTCTGTTGATAGCCTGATGTAAGATATATCTTTGAAGCAGCAAACAACCATTGCTGATGTTGTCAAACATATAAATTTCATTGAACCAAAAGGAGTCCCAACCCAGTATAGGCCCTCCTACAAACCATGTTCTGAGCATTACATTATCTATAATCAATATTCATCTGTGTTTAATTTTTGGGGATTTTTGTTTTGTTTTTTTTTTTTTTTGGGGGGGGGGGGGAGGACAATTTGCGCAGCTTTATGGATCCAGGCATTGCTGATACACTTGAGGGCCTCCGTCCACAATAAACATAATCCTAATCATAGTTACTAACACTAGAACACGGAATCCAAATTTCGCTAACAGTTCCCGACAAGCTTTTACTAAAATATGATGAAGCAGCTTATCCTAAGACCAGGACAACTTGAGGCAAACATATATTACAAATAATATCAGAAATTTCTTAAATTAAGTACCCTGGGATGCAGTTGATCATGATGAATACAGGAATGTCTGAGGACAATGATGAGGCAAGATCCAAATGAGCTATTCTACCACAAAGAACTATAATATAGGCCAAGAAATCAAGACCACAGATATTATGCACCAGATAAACTTGTAATACCACAAGCTACGTTGCATTTGCCTTGTGCCAATAGGAAGTGCCTTTGTCCATGGGGAATAATTCCAAGAATTAGATTAAAGGCAAAAATTAATATGGAGATCCCTTCAGAGTTTTTGAGCTTCTTTAATTTTGACTTGCGGCTGAGAAATGCCTGGTGGAAATAATATGGCCTTAATACCAACATTACAATAGAAATGTAGCATTCCCAGGCTGCTTATTAGAATGTGCCCAAAACTAGTAGCTCAGAATGTGGACAGAGATAAGATGCTCAATAGAAACTTCAGAATCATCAAAACTAATTCTGACACCATGGGAGGTTTCTCGCTTTCTTTTTGGGTGGTGTGTTCTCATGAGTACAATCGATCATATAGACAAATTATGGGTTGGAGATTGCATAGTTCATAACTTCCCCAAACTTCTGCTGACAGATGAATTTCGTCATTGTAACAAAGCCTTGTAAAGCTACACATTTCTTCAAGTCACAAAGCCTAAAGTCAGAGCCAAATGGCAAGAGATGGTATCTGCTGTAATGCCTAGTAGTTGAAATGGATGTTGTTTGGGTGGTGGTGATGTCATCCTACCATGCAGATGTGATGATGCAGCAGTTTTTCATTAGTGGGAAAGTATAAATCAATGCTCTTAGCCTATGCAGTGGGTCAGAATGTGTGTTAGATTTACCTTTCTCTTCTTCATCATAATTTTGGCTGCAGCCTGCAACAAAAAACAATAACTTTAATCTAAATCTCGAGGACACAAACTAGAATGAATAGTAATATAGGATAATGAAGTAGCTGATCAAAGAGACCTGTGTGCAGAGAAAAACTCCTGTAAGATTCAAATCAATAACCTCCTGCCATTGAGGCTTTTTCATTCTCATCAATAAACCATCCCGCGTAATTCCTAAGAACTCATACAATGGTTAGTCACAGGAAATACAAAAATGCCAATGAAATAAATGGTAGCTGTTGCAAACCTGCATTATTTATCAAGATATCAACTGTTCCCCATTGATCAACTGCCTACAGACATGAGTTCAGACTTCAGGTCATGCGATATTGCAAGCAACAATTGCAGTAAAATCAATGCCTGATTTTTATCATCTACTGTTTGCTTACTGTTTTAATCATTGATTCTACATCATCTTCATTCGAAACATCACCCCCAAAAGTAAGAGCTTGGCTGCCACATGCCTCGATCTACAAAATGAAACAAAATGTATGCAACTTTGTCCTCTCTGACACATATTGGTAAACAGCATTTGAACAACAAAACAAAAGCATGTATCTATGACACAACCAAAAGATACAAAACAGCCAACAAGCAAAAAAATGAGGTTGACAGGTTGGTCAATGAGGAAGATTGACCAAACATTACATTTAAGGTATAAAAAGGCCAGATTGTATTTTTCAGACAGGCAAGCATACCTTTTTAATGATCTAATGGAAACAGACACATTAATTTGTTGTGAAACTATAAAGTGTAATAGATCTGTAATTCTCTATGCCCTACAGTTTGTGCTAAGTAACCACAGGCAAGTACATGTACAACTCAACTCAATAAAGCCATAATCCCAACTATTTAGACTTGGCTACATGAATCTTTTTTTACTATTTTGTTCATGGAAAATTCAAGTAATAGCAACAAAGTATAAATTAGAGATAGTCAACCAGCTATTTTCCTTCCGAAAAGTTATGAGCTATGAAGCATGGATGCTCACCAGGGGCCGCTGTGGCAGTGTCGGACACGTGTCCGACACGAATACGCATGGGGCACAGCTGGACACATGTCCGACACCTCTGGAAGTGTCTTGCACAGTAGATTTGAATTTTTTTCAACTGGATACGACTCAGATACGTGGGGACACGGGGGACACTGGAGAGATATGGCGGGACTTCTTTTCTTATTTTAAAAACTTAGGGGGTTAAAACAAGAAAAAGAAAAGAAGAGGCAACGTTAAAAAAGAAAAAAACAATAGGGCAAATCTAGAAAGCTGAACTTTCTGTGTTCGTGACTCAATAGAGAGAGAAAAGCGAAGAACGAGAAGAGGGGACTGCCGGATTGAATCTCCACCTGGCCTGCTTCGGCAACAAGGAGAAGAGGAGAAGAAAGAGAGGGAAGACCAACTTGTGACTTGGAGTCTCAAATTTGTTGCTGTGAGTTTCAGATCTGTGCCGGATGGCGATGATCTCTCTCTCTGTAGGAGTTCAAATGGTATTTCTTAAGGGTGGGGTGCGTGGGGTCTTTAATTGAGTATGGGGAGTTGAAAGGCAAGAAGTTTTTAATTGGGTCTAGGGAGTTGAAAAGGTTTTTTGGGGGTGGGAGTTGAAAAGGGGGCTTTTATATTTCGATTATGAAGAGTTAAGAAGGTTTACTATTATTATTATTAATTATAATTTTTTTTATTATTGTATATTGGTAGGTTGTAAATAATGTTTTGTATTTTTTTTGGTATTATTTTTTTTAAATGACTGTATTTTTCATTAGTTATTATTAATTTTGTTATTATATATATCTATATATATATATATATATATAATATTATTTTAATTAACTTTATCCTTGCCGTATCCTTGTCCTATATTTTGAAACTTTGTTGTATCTCCGTGTCCATATCGTATTGGATACACCCATGTCCGTATCCTTGTTTCATAGGTTATGAGCACTAGGTGCACTGAAATATAGAATCACTAGTTCTGAAATTGGTAGCAAGTTCCCTAAGATGATTCTGGGGGTCTAGAAAGTCCAAATTGCAAAAGTAAGATCAGTATGATTGCATGAAAAAGGTGGTCAAGGTTTTCCTTAAGATTTTAAGGAGGGCTAAATCTGGGTTCTTACGATATTTGAGGTAGAATTAGAACAATATTAAAGAAATAAAGGTTCTTAATGCTTTATGATGATAGTTCAATTCCAAGAGGTTAGGGGGATAGACAAATAAAAAAAAGATATATGTAAAGTTTAAGGAAGAATAAAGAAAAATTGCAGTAAAATGCTGAACTTGATAAAAGGGGAGTTGTTGTGGTTTTTAAAAAACATTGTCTTCACTAATGATTCCAAATTAGTGAAACCTTCATTCAACATTTGAAGATTCAACAAACATTGCTTCAAGTGTTTTTAAAAGAAATGCCGAAAAAAGATTATAGCTTGCTGAGACAGATCCTCAAATCCTTTCACTGAAAATCCGTTCGATGTTCAGCCTCTTGCAAAACTTTCTGGTAGTAAATATGCATACATTCTAAATTTACAACAAGCTTGAGCATAGAGCCAACCCCAACATAATTGGGACAAGCATCAGTTGAATTGAGATAATAGGCTTGAAAAGATACATTTGTATCACCATGCCTTGCATTAATCAATAGTGCACCATTTTTCCACCCAGAAACGCAAGATGAAAATTTTCTACATAAATATCAAGTAGAACAACTAATTGTATTCTATTTCCTTATGAATAAATCTTTGCATAACTTTGCACTCTACATACATTCATCAATCTAATCTCAGAACAAGGACAAACATAATTAATAGAACCATTTTAACAGAAATTAGATGCCTTTTAAGCTTATAAAAAGACCGGATCCCCCGTAAAGTAACTGTTGCCTAAAAAAATGAAAATTTACTGGTAAAAGGAGACCATGACATCTAAGAATGAAGAGCAAATCCGATCAACATCAGACAGTTAACTGTATTGTATTTTTAAAATTTGAAGCATACCTCTTTGGAAACTTCTTCAGCCTCCTTGGATGATCTGGCATAGTTCACCAGGACCTACAAAGTACGACACCGTAATTAATTATCAAGTGGGTTTAATCGTTGCTTCCCCCCATCAGTCAACAAGCTGGTGCTTAGAATTATTTGTACAAAACGAAAAACAGAATGCCTCTTCTATAATACCAGGTGGATCCATTCACAAATGAAAGAGAGCTTTAGAGGAAGTTATCGACAAAATAATCAACCAAAACACGGTTCTTATCATATTATATTGGACAGGTTGAACTAAACATGATATGATAGTACTGCAAGGTAAGAGTTTTCATGAAGTTCGCAGTGCATGGTATATTTATCTTAATGAAAATTTTAATATCACAGGATGCTGATTGCTGAACCTTTTATGCAAAAGTGTAAACCAAAAATAGGCATTTTTTAAAAAACTGTCCCTAGTAAATATTCCCGCAGAGACAGCTTGTGTTGGCTAATACTATGCCTTTGACTTGACCTTATTATAACTGTTACTAGTATGCGCTTAAAGGAATAGATTCATGATGTGTATTCCCTTTAAGAACAATAAATTTTCAACTGAAGAAAAAGAAGGAAACAAACACATTTTGGGTTCTTCGAAACAAGATACTTGGGTACATTCTACAAATGAAATGACATATTCTTCTTTCTTGTGCAAAAACAAATAGGGTACTAAAATTTCACTGATTATAAAAGTGACCGTCTGAAATCTAATAAACATGGCACAAAGTGCACCTATCAACTTTTGGTTCCCTATAAAGAGTAATTGTTGGGAGATTATACGTGGCAACATAAGAAACCTTCAAAAATTACTGCACAATTTACCATCAAACAAGTGTACTCATACTTGTCAACCCAATCTTTTACCATTATACCAAGCATTGGTCCATAAGATAGAAGTGACAATTTTCATTTTTCTTTTTGTATTTTGTGCGTCAAGGAGATAATACGTGCCAACTTGACTAGTATTTAACAAATGGACCATATGGAAGTGAGCAACCGCAGCCACATCTGACAACATCAGCAATTCTGAAACAGTGGTCTATTATGTCTTCAAGTCATTCAAGTGCTTTATTCGCCAATTATGAATAATATGGCGATGTAGCCATACCACATTCTAATTGCATAGACCCCACCCCCCCACCCAAAAAAAGAAAAATTAAATAGAAAACGAAGTAAGAAATGTAACAATCCTTATGCTTATACAACACATTAGCATAAAACATGCACATACACAGCTACATATATATAACAATTTCTTAGGGAGAGGAGGCTTGAGAAGTTTTCCCTCCTACTTTTCTAATTTTTAAGAATTTTAAATTATTAGATTCTCCATCATCCGAATATTAACTACTCATAAACTCCCTCTAACCACTACTTATTTGATTTTTTTCAAACATCAAATTTTAATAATACAATAATTTTATAATATTTTTGCTAACTTATAAAATAATGAAATAATGAGCGAGACAGAGTAAATGGTTAAGGAGCAGATTGGGAGGGGAACGGATGGCCCGTGCATTGGGTCGGATGCTAGTATAAAACATATACAAGTGCATATGTTATGTAGGTATGTGTGTGTATGTATTTGTCTCAGTATGATTGACGTTTTCAATCCAATTGAGCAAAGAGTCGAACATGACCAACCTTGCAACCAGCTTTCCCCAAAGTTAATGCAATAGCTCTCCCAATCCCTCGAGAAGCTCCAGTGACAACAGCAACAGGAGTTTCAACATTCCGTGCGCCATCAACATCTGCTTGTTCCACCGCCGCAACCTGAACTCTAGCACCTAAATCATGTCATTTCTCTTAATCACTTGTCGTAACCTAGTCTGATTTCCATCACAACTATGCACACTTAGTTTTAGCGGGGTGTGTGTGTGTGTGAGAGAGAGAGAGAGATAGAGATTGAAAGTTTCTGGGAGATACCTGAGGAATGAGAGGAAGAGGACCAACGGCACTGCAAGACAGGGATTGGCTGGAGAGGACAAGATCGAACGCTGGAGGGAAAGCGAAATTGGTAGATTTGGCGACAAAATGGACCGCGTGATGCGAATTTGGCCGGAGTTGTGACGGAGTTGAAGGCGATAGCAGCCATATATGAAGCTTCGAAGGAAATTCCGACCAGCAGTGAGACCAGCTGAAGATGAGGAAAGTGCCAGGCGCGTTTGATCGTCAGAGATAAAGGTAGAAAGGGTCTGTCAGCTTAATGAATAAGCCAAAATTGGAAGTGCCCAAAGGATGCGGCTCGTCTGCTGTTCAGGAGGAACAAAGTTCTCGTTTGTATTAGGGTGAATTACATTTTACACCCCAAAAGTTTAAATTTGATTTTTATTTGGTGCGTCAATAATCAATTATAATAATTAAGTCCTTAAACTTCACGACTAATGTCAATCAATTCCCTATATCAAAATTAGTCAGTAACTATGATGAAAAAACGTCACGTGAGGATTACGGACCTCAATCACATATATAATTTTGACTAATTAACATATTTATGAGTTAAATATTAAAAAGTGAGTCAATACATTCCATTGAAGTACTCAAATTTATGTAAAATAAGTCGGTAAATATAATTTCAAGACATAAAACTCTTAATGTTAGATACAACTTATTAATAATTAATTCCATTATTTGATCACCTTATACTCCTGTGACTTTTTCCCTTTAAAAATATTGACGAATTTGAACGAGGGACTTAAACAGTAATAGAACTTAAAGTTTAAGGATTTGATTATTTTAATTGATGGTTTAAGAATTAAATAGAAACCAAGTCTAAACTTTTATGATATAAAATATAATTTATCATGCATTTAAAACCAAAGGTGCACTTGTAACCTTTATAGCATACTCTTCTTCTAATCATAAAGGGCAGCTCTAAGTGAAAATGATGACAAGTCATAAATTTATATCTTGACAAGTCTTTTAGCCCGGCTCATGTGGATATCTCTCGTGAATACCCTAACATCATAAGTTTCCTCTAATATCCATGACTAGTGAACAAAACAAAAAAAAACACTCTTCTTGTCAAAATTATAAGTTTATGCTAACAATTAACCTTATCAATCGTATCAGACTTTTACAAGTTCGTATTGAAAAAATAGTTCACTTATACTCAACTCGTTTATTAATTCATCTCTAACAAGTCATATCATATCAAATTCGTGACATGTATAAATTGTGTGTAACTGATATATAAACGACTTGTATATTTTTTTTAATTGACTTCACACATACTCAATTCGTTTATGAATCGTATCGTGTCGAATCTACTTGATTACAAAACGGGTGACTTAAAGAAGACCTAAACCTTTTAATTTCGTATAGTGTTCGTACCTATTAACGAATTATGTCACATTTTGACACCCCTACCAACAATAATGATTCCAAAAAATCAATCACCGCAAATATACAATACACAGCGACCCGTAACCCATAACGTATTCAGAGAAACATTGTGCGTCGGGTGGTTGTAATTTAGGCCAAAATTCTTCCTTCTGTAGTAGCATCAACAAATTTTCAGGTCAGGCAGCTCATAATCAATCTATTCCGCAACAAGAATGGACTTGTCCTGCACATTTCCCTCTCGACTGTACCTCTTACTGTACATAAAACAAAAACATCACTGCTGCTATGCAATCTTTCTCTAAAGCTAATTCTCAAACATTCCTTCATCTGACAATCTAGAAGATTCTGTCCCGTTAACAACAGGTTGGTTGGACAAATCCACACTAGGTTCGCCTAGAATGCTGTAATCGAAGTCGTCGTCATCATCGTCATCGTCATCGTCGCGATCTCTATCTGTATCTTCTTCATCATCCTCTTTTTGCATGATTCCTTGGGCTTCCCTCCTCATCCGCTGCTTGATAGCGTCTTCATAAGACATTTCATACCAAACAGTACCCTTGCCAACAATAGATTTGTTGTGGGCATCTGTCATCCGCTGTTGCTTACTCTTTTCTGAATTCTTAGGTTCCCCCCAGTAGTCATACCGATATAAAGGGTTTGAAGGATCATATTGATCCTTTCCAAAATAGCTGGCATCTACATATTTTCCTGGCTCTTCCAGTGGGAGGCCAAGGGCTTGACGGCTGCATCAAGAACTAAATTGCATCAGTGACAGGCAGTGATTTTTACAAAAATGAATATTTCATCGCTCAAGTGACAGGCAGTAATTCTCACACAGTGACCCATTGCATCAGATGCTGGTAAATCAGGCAGACCCAGGATTGATAGGTAAGGAATGCGGTTATGTCTAAATTTATCTGATCAAAGGACAGACTCTAAATTTCACTACCAGACTGCATCAGGATACTTTTCAGTCAGCTCAATTGAAGGTATGAAATGGTAAGGGAACAGGACACATAATCATGCCATAACAGGGATGATCAGTGATATGTCAAAACCATAGTCGAAGAGTCAAAAACTTCAATGGAGGTTTATAATATGATGTATATTATAATATCAAACAGGAAAGACAAGATCAATGAGAATACCAGCTGATATCCCTGATCAGGGCCTCTCTTTCCTCGAATGATCGACGCCAATGGATCAAATCATACTCATCCATTTCAATATTTCGTCTCAACTTGGTAACTTTATATCGCTCTCCTCTTTCTTTTGCTTCCTGCCTTAGTTTATTATGGAGCTGCAAACAACAGAGGTCAGCTGCAAAAATTAAAAGCATTTTCTTCACTTGAACAACTAAGAGAACAAATTTAAATCAACTGAGAATAGCGCATCATTTAGAGAGAAACATAAATTGGCTGGTATTACCCAACTCAAATTGTGCAGAATCTAACCATTAACAATTTAAAAATAAGATAACAAAACAAGACAACATACGATCACAACTTTGTGTGAAGTAAATATTTGTGAGTTAAAACCTGACGCTCGGCAAGTGCAGCTTCCAAGTCAAGTTCTTTCACACTTATTTTCTGCCAAAAAGTTCAAGCAACATCAGGCAAATGCCTTTACATCCAGATCAATGCAATGTAACAAGGAAAGTGCTCACCAGAATCATTTTGGGTAGTAAAGTTTTCTTATAATAAGCTTTGGTATATTCAACACTATTTTCTTCATCAAAATCCTCATCATCACTTAAATCTGCTAAGTTTTTGTCTTTGTATTCATCAGGACGAGCCTCCATATCATCCAAGATCAATTGTTCGGCATTATGTAACTGCCATAGCTGCATAGAAAACAAATACTCAGATTACTAAAATGCAGCTCATTGAGGGGCCAGATTAATACCTGTGTCAGATTGCTTATTGAACTTGTATTAATGAAAATTGAAAAGTACATTCAAAAAGGTTGAAAAGAAATCCAACCAAGAAATAAAAAAGAACAGGGATAATCACATGAAGCTTTCCATCCCTCTAAAACAGCGAAAAGTGGAATTCCTATGAAACTGAAGCCCAAAATGACGCTCACAAATGAATAGTGCCACATAATCCATCCACACTCTCACATCGTCATCACATCAGATTGCTTATTGACACTCGATATTTAAGATCTCCACTCTGTTGTAAGTAAAAAAATCTCTTATGCTAGTTGTCACTGTCCAAAATGGAGCTCAAAGGACAGAAGATCGTTTATAAACAAGTAACGAGGAATAGAAGAAAATCCTAGAAAACCCACTTCAATATCCTAAAAAATCATGCTGAAGGTTACTTGAATCCCACTAAACGAAGAAATTACATAGATATCATCAGGTTGTTGTAGTTGTCCTATTTCTACCACTACTAGGACACCATTAAACACAAAGTTCGACCCTTAGAGTGCTAGGACTTTTCCTTAATGAAGACTCCATCTAAACACCCAATAACATAATGCAATATGAAACAACTGCGCCGATGCTACACACCACCAAGCACAAAGAAGTTGGAAATGGAAACCATCAAGGATGCCAGATTCATAAGAAACTAAACATAATTTAAAATTTTTGAGAAGACAAAATATTGTTTAAACTGACCAGCAACTTACAAACTTGGGACAAACATGATAAAAATACTCCATTAGCTGCTACATTCATTTTAGACTGCCAAAGTGATGCAATCCATAAGATACTCAAAGAAACACAAATTCGAAGATGTGAAAGATAATGAAATTGGCTTTTCATCAAGATAAAAATCCATATGGAACATTGCATTATTGTATTTTGAGTCTTATTTTAAGTCAATTTGCTAGTATTACTATTTTATATGTCCTTTCAATATTTTTTAGTGCCAGGATATTTTTATAATTTCTAAAATTGCTAGAACATGTCATATTTTTGGGTCAAATTCTAGTGTTGAATATTCTAGAATTTAAACTACTAATTCTAGTTAATTTTAGTTTTCTAATTTGTAGGGACATAGTGTTTTTCGAGTCCTAAAGACTTTGGAATCCTAATCTTTTAGGATTAGGAGTATTTAGTGATAACTTTGATCAATCATAGAGAAGATAAGAGAAAGAATAAGAGAATATTATTGAGGCATAATTAGCCAGATCAACATAATGAAAAAATGGAAAAATATATACAAGAGGTCTTTATATAATAGGGCAACATAAAAGAAAGTAAATGACTAAACTACCCCTAAGTCTAAATATGTTAACTACTCTAACACCCTCCCTCAAACTCATGATGTAGTAGCAGAAAACATCAAGAGTTTGTTAAAAAAAAACCGAAAAAGAGTGATAATATACGACTTTGTAAAGAAATCTGCTAACTGCATAGTAGAAGAAAGAAAGGGGAGGGAGATAGTGCCCAACTGAAGAAGATGACGCACAAAGTGACAATTAATTTCAATATGCTTTGTGCGCTCCTAAAAGACTGAGTTATGAGCAATCTGAATAACACTAGTGTTGTCACAATACATTGGCGTCGGCACAGATGACATGACGCCAAGATCAACAAGGAGCCATCGTAATCAAATTATCTCAGCTACAGTAGATGTCATACTCAACTTCAGCAGATGAGTGAGAAACAATATTTGCTTCTAACTTTTTCAAAAAATAAGAGAATCACCGAAGAAAAGGCAAAAGCCCGTAGTGGACTTACGGTCCACAGAGTCACTAGCCCAGTCAGCATCAAAATAAGCTATGAATTCCATAGAGGAAGAAGAGGAGAATAACAAGCTCTGGTACAGAGTATCTCGAAGAATACGAAGAACTGCAGTCCAGTGAACAGTGGTGGGTGAGACAACAAATTGACTAACAACATGAACAACATCGGAGATATCTGACTGTAAGATATACTTAAACTCCCAATAATAGCGCGATAGAGCGTAGGGTCAAAAGAAGAGTAACGTGCATTGAGCTCTAAAGGTGTTTCAATTGTCCGATTATCTAATAAACGAGCTTGTTGAATAACATCTGAAACATACTTGGACTAAGAGAAAAGATAGCCTTTAGGAGCGGAAACAATCTCAATACCCAAGAAATATTTAAGCTGCCCCAAATCTTTTATCTCAAAATGGTCCTGCAACTGAGTTTTCAATAAGTATATGCTAGCAGTGTCATCACCCGTAATAATCATATCATAAACATATAGTAAGAGAATAATAGAACCTGAGGAAGTAGACTATAAAAAGAGAGTAGAATCATGATCAGTGGCACAAAAACCCAAGTTACAAATAATTGAAGAAAATTTGGCAAATCACACCCTGTGAGTTTGTTTAACGCCATATAAAACTCGGTGAAGTCAACATACTTGACCAGGACTATGAGACAATCTACGAGGAGGAGTCATAAAAATCTCTTCACTTAAATCTCCATGAAGAAATGCATTTTTCACATCTATTTGAGACAAATTTCATTGGCGAATGGCAGGAATTGCAATCACTGTGCGAACGGTGGTCATCTTCTAAACAGAGCCACAAGTTTCATCATAGACTATACCATACTCCTAAGCAAAACTTTTGGCTACTAATTGAGCTTTATACCGTTTTACAAAACCATTAGACTTGATTTTTATCTTATAAACCCACCTACAACCAATAGCGCATTTACCAAGTGGTAACGACACTAGCTCCCAAGCTCTAGTCTTATGTAGGGCAGACCACTCCTCATCCATAGCCTGTTTTCAAAGTGGAGCAAGTAAAGTCTCCTTGTATGAGGTGGGTTCATATAGTGAGTGAATAGAAGTAAGGAAAGAACAAAAATTAGGAGAATAACAAGTGTTACTCCAACCAAACCAGTCTGGACATTTGCGAGAGCACTGAGGATAGTGTAGAGTATGATCCACAATGTCTGAAACTGATTGGGTGGCACGAGGAGAGTGAGAAGACACCGTATCTGTAGAAGAGATAGCTGGAGTCCTGCAAACATATGTATGCACAATAGGGGGACGGCTGATGGGCAACTCAGAAGAGGAAGGTACATCAAAAACAATCATATCACCAACATAAGTGTCAGAAGGAACATTAGTCAAAAATGGGTCAATATAAATAAGATCAGATTTATGCAGATGTGCAGAACTAGATGGAATAGAAAAGAAGGGATATGGTCCATGAAAACTACATGACGAGAGACATAGAGTTTGTGTGAAATAGGATTATAGCAACGATACCCCTTTTGACCCTCACCATAACAAAAAAAAACACATAAAGCTGAACGAGCAAAGTGTACTAGGAAGCAACACAAAATAAGTGCATCCAAATATACGTAAAGAGAAATAATCAGGTGGTTTACCACGTAGTTTTTCAATTGGAGAAATTCCAGAGGTGATGACAGCGAAATTAATCAAATGAATCACAATAAAAACTGCTTCTCCCCTCCCCCAAAAAAAAGAACTTGGGACATTTGCTGACAACAAGAGAGAGCACGTGTTGTCTCCATAATATGTCAGTGTTTCCGCTCTGCTACACCATTTTGTTCAAGTGTGTTAGTACAAGAAGATTAACAGACAGTGACATTAGATTTTAATAGATCATGAAAATAATTGAAAGAATATTCTCTTCCTTGGTCACATCGAAAACATTTAATAACAGATAAATATTGAGTACGTATTATAGAACAAAAAATAGTGAGTACAGAAAAAAATTTAGAACAATGCTCCATGAGATATACCTAACAATATCTGGTATAATTATCAATAAAGGATACATAATATTTGGACCCTCCTTTTGTAGAAATAGAAACAGGCCCCCAAATATCAGAATGAACAAGGTCAAATGGTGCAAGAGAGCTAGTAAGACTTTTAATAAAAGGTAATGCAGTAAACATAGCTAACTTGCATCCACTACAACTAGAAATGTCATAACACTCTAAATTACCCAAGCTACCAGTGGAGGCTAAATATTTCAAACGAGAATGAGAAACATGACCCAGACGAGAATGCCACAAGTAAAAACTAGAAGACTGTGAACTCAAATGAAAAGATAACAAATCAACGGTAGAAGCTGCAATATTTGGAACATGTAGCTTGTCCAATACATACAGTCCTCCCTCTCTACTAGTGGCATTTGGTACGGAGATGCATCTAAATTTCTTTCACCAAGCAAGTACATCAAGAATTTCTTCTTCCCAAAAGGCTAAAACTCAAAGTTATTTGCATTCTAATGTGCAACTACAAAAGGGTCATCAAAAGCAACCCAAAGTAATAAGGGATCCAATAATTCAACATGGAAGAAATCAAGTATAAGAATCAACATAATCCCAAGCAACTACGCTATTTACTTATCCAGAGGCTAAGGTAAAAAGTGAATATCAAAATAATTTTTTTGTTGTAGAGGCCAACAAGATGGAAAATACAGCAACTAGAATTGAATTAGATTTGCCTTTAGAGAAGAGTAAGTTACTATCTAAGAGCTTTGAAATAGTGCCAAAAGAGTTGTCGAATAAAATTCCTTCTCTTGATGACTTTCAACTTATAACATTTTTACCTCAAGTGCTTGATTTTTTTGCATCCACCAAGAATCTAAGTGAGCATAAATAGCTAACTAATGGTGCTCAAGAGAATATCAAGGCTACAACAAAAGAAGATATCACTATGAACCGAGAGATAGAATCAAAAACCATTACAAAAAATTTGATTGAGCAAGAGGAAGGGAAGGCTACAATTGAATGGCAGACTACTAGGCTTCATGTTCCACATCAATTCAAGGATGTTCTTTCTAGCCACTTTACTCCATCAATTGATTTTGTGATTCCAGAGAAGTTCAACAAACGAATTGAGAATATTGATCACCAATATTTTTCTTTATTTCATCAATTCAACAAGAAAAGGAAGCGCCATCTTCAGATTCCTCGAAGAGAGCTAATTCTAAGCTATGGACTTCCATACTGCAATACTTTAAAACTCGACATCGAGTTTTCTCCAATCAGGGGAGAATGATGCAATCTATAAGATGCTAAAAAAAATACAAATTTGAAGATGTGAAAGATAATGACATTGGCTTTCCATCAAGACAAAGATCCATATGGAACATTGCATTATTGTATTTTAAGTCTTATTTTAAGTCAATTTGCTAGTATTAGTATTTTATATGTTCTTTTAATATTTTTTAGAGTTAGAGTACTTTTGTAATTTTTAGAATTTCTAGAATTGGTTATATTTTGGGGTCAAGTTTTAGTGTTGAATATTCTAGAATTTAAACTCCTAATTCTAGTTAATTTTAGTTTTCTAATTTGTAGGGACCTAGTGTTTTTGGAGTCCTAAAGACTTTGGAATTCTAACCTTTTGAGATTAGAAGTACTTAGAACTCTATATATAGTTAGTGTTACTTTTAATAAAAGATAGAGAGAGAGAGAGATATTCAGAAATTTTAGCAATTATATGTAATTCTTGAGTTGTGTGATGCAATTCTAACCCTAAGTGTGATGCCTAAGGAACCCTAGGAGTGATTCCTAGTCAAAGTTACTGTTTATGGCCCCTATTTTTATTTTACAAAGTTGTCCTACATCACAAAGATTAAGTTGATTAACTAGCCAATAATTAGACATTGATTAATAGATTAAATGGTAATTTTCCAAAAAAATTGACAGGAAAATGTATATGGTCAGAATTAATGATAAAAGAAACAATGGACCCAAACTTCGGACAAACATAATAAAAAGACTCCATTAACTGCTACCTTCATTTTAGACTGCCAAAGATTGAGCTGATTGTCTAGCCAATAATCAGACATTGATTAATAGATTAAATGGCTAATTTTCCAAAGACTTGAGGAGAACAGCTATATGGTTTTCTCTGCTCCTTTTTTGTGGACTACTCATCCTCCATGTACTTCCTTAGCTATTATAACTCATAATTTATGGTTGCTGATTGGGAAAAAACAAAAAAAGCTCGGTGATATGAGATTCTTTGGAATATTCAAATCTTAAAAGAAAAGCATTTTTTTAAAATAATTGAAATTATGATTAAATTTTTATTTATTGAAACATTTGCAAAAAGAATTATACATTTTTTAAGTGTTCACGTGGATCTGGGTGGAGATTAAATGCTAGCAGAGGCCCCCTTTTTTAATGATTGCAAGAAACTAAGCTCTATTCATTACAACACCCTGGCTTCCCCAAATTGACCATTCAGTTTTGACAGATAGTCATTTATGAGCTAAAGAATGCTACTTAAGGCTCTAATCTTTGGTCAAAGTATCACACAAATAAGTTAGAAAGTAACTAACAGCATAGGTTGCTTGACTTTGAAAAGTAAAACATTTGAATGAATAAGTTGCTAAATATTTATTGTCCAATTACAGACCAAAATTCTCAGGTTAACATGGTCCTATCAGAGGTATGATACAGAACAGCAAAACAAAGTAAGCAAACCAGCATGGGGAAGATGCCTAGTTAGCATGGAGCATTAATGTTTTAAGAGGACAGCAGTTAAGTTTCTCCTAATTATTTCTTGACTCGCTCTCAATAGTAAAAGGGCTGGGGTGGCTGTTTGTGGACAAATGTGCGTAAGGCACAGGCTTTTAGGCATTGGAATCCAACCTTGATGTTATGCGTTGGATTCAACAAAACTTCAAAAATAGGATTAAGGACCTCATTTTGTGTTTAAGTTTTTGTTTTTACTACTCAATATCTCTGCCTGAGTTGTGTTTCACATTTCTCTTTTCCCCAGCACATCCCACACCCCGAAGAAGGAAGAGAATTGCATCAAGTTGCTGTCAAAAAGTTAAAAAAATCATCAGGTCTCTAAAGAACATGAATCCTAAAAGACATGCAAGTGCAAAGGCGGAGCATGATTCATGTAACCAACCACGAGTAGTAGGGGTGAGGTAGGGATGAGGCTTTGTTGAGATGAATTAAGTTGAGTAATCACTATTCACTACATAGTTATTAAATGGAACCAAAATTTTAGATATCACACACTGATAGAAGTTAGCATGCGAGGATACTCAGAATAGGCAAAGCATGTTTTCATGACTAATATTGTGCTTCCTCCAAAAGTTCTCTCCAGGGACTTAATCACCAACAGCTACACCCATGAATGGCCATGTGCAGACATAGACAAAAAAAATATTTCGTTCAGCTTGTTATATGCCGAGAATTACGGAATACAAGACAGATATCTCAATGCATAAAACTATTCATGCTCAAAAGATGATACTAGAAATGCCAATTATATGAAAACAACGCTTTCATACAATACCTTATCCACATAAGGGTGATTTGATAGCAAAGGTTCCTCTTCCACTTTGATGCCATGATCTTTTCTTGGAAGAGGAGGTCGATCACAATCACGCTGCAAAAGGGAGCAAGCCCAAACCAAGAGCATATAAATAACAATATCTTAAATCCAACGAATGTACAGACTTTCAGAAACCAGTAACCAGCTATACAATGGGCTCCAGTAATACTCAAAGTACAGGAGTAAAACATTGTAAACAAGAACTGAAGCTTTACAATAGAAGAAACCTTCTACCCTCCTTTCCAACAAATCACTAGCTGGGCTGTCAAGACCTACCAACAGATGGAGAAAATATTCATTACAACGGTGATACCACGTGGCAAGGTGATGTGGTATCACCAACTAATAGTACTAAAACAAATAAGCACATGGACCCCACAAAAATCAATAATTAACTTGTCATGTAAGCCCAAGTGGGGTTCACCTTTCTCATTTGGGGTTTTATTATTGGTAGGTGATACCATGTCATCAATGGTGACATGGTATCACCGTTGCATTCAATATTTACTCCAACAGATGGATTCTCCCACAATTACTTGCCCCATGAAAGTTAATGCTACAATTATGCAAAGTGTAATAGATCACCAGCCAGAAAACTTCTAACCATTGTAACGATTGGATTACTAATCTACCTTGTGCGCAAACAGAATCCTGAACTGTAGTCTCATCTGAATTTACACAACCCATCCATCCATCCCCCATCATCATCCTTACTAGAACAAGACAAATTTTAACTCAACTCAATGAGGGCCAATCCATGGTCACACAAGTAAATCATACATGTTGGACTCTTTGAAGCTAGTTGCATTGGGCTCTGTTATGATATTTAAAGCTTCACCTATGCTTAATTCAGGATAATTCAAGAGGTCAGGGAGAAGATAGGAAATGCAGCTCATTTTCAGAAAGATGATACTCACACGTAATTCATCTGGATTGGTATCCTCATCTCGATGAAGTATTGGTGGGAAATCAAACCTGTTAAAGCTGCAAGCATGGAGACAAATGCACGAAACCAAGGAGTGAAGTTAGACTAGTAACCATTAAAACAGTGCCATTTAACAATCATGCAGCATGCAGAAAATGATAACAGAATATAAAATAAAATGACACTCAAAGCAGGAAGAATATTCAGCAAGTCAAAACTACATACACCAGGTGATCTATATTTGGATCAACGAAACGCATCTCAATGGGAAATCGAAATCTGTAAGGATCTCGTTTTGCCTGCAGCATAGAAGAACTTATTCAAACAAATGAACATATTATGAATTCGAATTGATATACATTTGTTAAATTCTACCAAGAGCCTTGCTAGCAGAAGTATGAAGCTAAACTCTGAGATCCACAAACTGAGACTATTTTTTCAAGTCCCTTCTCATGGAAAAGGAGAATAGGAACTGTTAAGATTAAGGAGGAGCTTAACACAATATGAGAAAGACAAAGAGAGGTTTGGCTTAACCTACCTCTCACTATTGGTCTTGTATTTATAGTTACCAAATAAAATGAAAATACGAGTATACCCTTTGTGTGGTATACATATTCAATAAACATAAACCCTAATTACATTATACTAACTTTCCTAATTGTATTATAGTAACTTTCTCAACACTCCCCCCTCAAGCTGAACTATAGATATCATATAATCCAAGATTGGAACAAATATCTATAAGACGAGTACGACTCAATACTTTGGTGAACATGTTTGCAAGTTGATCCTCAGATTTCAAAAATAGAGTTGCAATGTCTCTCCTTAGTATTTTGTCTCGAATAAAATGGTAGTGAACTTCAATATGTTTGTTTCTCTCATGGAACACTGGATTGACAACAATATAAATGGTTGCCTGATTATCACAGAACAATTGGAATGGTAGCTGAACTGGAAAACCAAAATCCCGAATAAAGTGTAGTAACCATGTCAATTCACTAGTCGTATGAGTCATTGCTCTGTACTCAGCCTCGGCATTAAATCGTGCTACCACTGTTTGTTTTTTACTTTTCTATGAAACAACATTACCTCCCAAAAAGGTGCAATAACCAGTAGTTGACCATCGATCAAATGGAGAACCAGCCCAATCAGCATCTGAAAAACCTTCCACTCGAAGATATCCATTAACTCGATATAACAATCCAAGACCAGGAGCACTTTTGAGATATCGAAGAATACGAATGACTGCATCCCAATATGGTACTCTAGGACATCCCATAAACTGACTTACCGTACTGACTGCATATGCAATATCTGATCAGGTAATAGTGAGATAATTAAGCTTCCCAACCAACCTGCGATACCGACCTGGGTTATCAAATAAAACACCATCATCCATCAACAACTTCTTATTTTGTTCCATAAGACTATCAACTGGTCTACCACCTAGTACACTTGCCTCTTGTAGCATGTCAAGTACATATTTTCTCTGAGATAGACAGATACCCTGATTAGATCTGACAACTTCAATACTCAAAAAGTACCTGAATTTTCTCAAATTTTTTGTATAAAATTTGTCTTGCAGAAATGCTTTTAATTTAGTAATGTCCTCAGAATCATTACCAGTGATTACAATATCATCAACATAAACCACCAATAAAGTATACCCTGCATCCGTCTACCTGTGACAAACAGAATGATCTGTCTGACATCGAAGAAGGCCAAACTCTAATACTGCATTAGAGAATTTGCCAAACCACGCTCTTGGTGATTGCTTCAAACCATACAGAGATTTCTTCAATCAACGCACACTCCTACAATACTCCCCCCTGAACAGTAAACCCAGGTGACTGCTCCATGTAGACTTCCTCAGCCAAGTCACCAAGCAAGTATGCATTCTTGACATCTAACTAAAACAGAGGCCAATCAAGATTAGCAGCCAAAGAAATAAAAACACGCATAGAAGTGATCTAGGCAACGGGAGAAAATGTCTCTGCATAATCAACCCCATATGTTTGAGTGAAACCCTTAGTAACAAGTCGAGCTTTGAGACGCTCAACAGAAGCATCTGGATTAAACTTAACAGTATACACCCATCGACAACCAACAGTCCATTTCCCTGGTGGCAAGGGAATAAGATCCTAAGTCCCATTCTGATGTAAGACATCCATTTCAACTTCCATAGCTTTCCTTTAACCCGGGTCAGATAAGGCACCCTGTAGAGTCTTAGGAATAGAGACAATAGAGAGTTGTGTAGTAAAGTAGGAAAAAAACAGGTGATAAGGCATCATAGAAACAAAATTATCAATGGAATGTTTAGAAACACATGAGCCAGTACCTTTCCTAAGAGCAATTGGTAAAGAATCGGAATTACCTGAGGTATTCGGATCAGGAGATGGCAAGGAGGGTGGCAAGGGCACTTTAGCTGATGACTGCACACGACGGGAATATACACGGAGTGGAACAAATGATGGGTACACAATAGAGAGTGGAGTAGGTGACAGTAAAGGGAGAGGTGTCTCAGGAGACTGCCCAAAATCAAGATTCAAAGGCTATAGAGGAGCCGAGAAATACGAAATTTCCTCATTAAAGGTGACATCAGCACTAATGAAGTACCGACGAAAAGTGGGACCATAGTTGTCAAATTGCAATTCGTATCGTGAATTGGAATCCTAAATTTGGGAATCGTGAATCATATCGAATCATGAATCGTAAGATTCGACACAAAATTTAAACAAAAATAAAAAATAATACTATATATTTAAAGTAGACAAAATATTGAATATTGAACATTATTGCATCTAAAAATAATTAATTGACATAATCACGTCATCTAAATGGAAAGACACTAGTCTTTTGCTTCATTTATATCTTTTGTTTAACCATTTTCAAATTCAACAACTTGAAAAAAAAATTTATTAAAAAATCATAGTAATTCAAGAACCAAAATAGTAACACCCAGTATAGATTAAGTTACAAACTTGAATGAAAAAAGAACAAATAAAAAAATTGATTGGGAGAAAAAATATCGGCCAACATTTTAAAACAACAAATTAGAACCTAACAAACTACCCATGAAAAATTGAGAGCAAAAATTAATTGATGATGCGAGAGAGTTAGCCGTGACCTTTAGCCTTAGACAACACAAGGCGAGTTTTGACGACGTCAGAGATAGAACAAGTAAAGAGGTTGAGTTTTTATTAGGGCGTGGATTCCTATGCCAACAAAATGACGTCGTTTTACTGTTTAGCGAACAAAATGACGTTCTTTTACAAAAAATTGGGGTTTTTTTTTAAAAAGTGATTGAATCGTACAATTCGTGAAATACGAATCGAATTGTACGATTCAGGTGCGATTCAACTCTAAAACGATTCTCATATAAGATACGAATCGTTTGTACCTGTATCGAACTGAATCGTATGAATAGAATTGTGAATCGTACGATTTTGATAACTATGAGTGAGACAATAACATCGATACCCCTTTTGTGTACGAGAGTATCCAAGGAAGACACACTTGGTAGCACGAGGGTAAAGTTTATCAAACCCAAGTCCCAAGTTATGAACATAACAGACACACCCAACACTTTAGGAGGTAAAAAGAATGAAGGAGTATGAGGTACAAGAACGGAGTATGGACTTTGCCCATTTAATACAGACGACGACATACGGTTAATGAGGTGACAAACTGTAAGAACTTCATCACTCCAAAAAGCACGAGATACATGCATTTGAAATAACAGTGTACAGGTAACTTCCAACAGATGTCGATTCTTACGCTCAGCAACCCCATTCTGCTGAGAAGTATAGGCACAAGAGGTTTGATGAATAATTCAGCCTTACGCAAATAAAAGGATAAAGGATCAAATTCATAATCTCTAGCATTATCAGAATGAAGAATACAAATGTTACAACCATATTGTGTTTTTATTTCTTGATGAAAAGTCTCAAATATAAAGCATAATTCATAACGGGCTTTTATAAGAAATAACCAAGTCACTCGAGAATAAACATCCACAAATAACACAAAATAAGAAAATTTATTAGATAAAATATTCTTTATTGGGCCCCATACATCAGAATGAATTAAAACAATTGGACTTGAGACACGATTATTGACTCTAGACTTGAAGGAAACACAGTGATGCTTACTAAGTTGACAGGTTTCACAAAACACAAACGAAACATGACTCAGACTAGGAACTTGGCACTTCAGATTCAGGAGCGAAGGATGATCAAGTCGACAGTGCCACTGAAAGGGAGATGATGAGGTCTGAAACGCTCGAGGAGATGTTTCAAAATCAAAATAGTAAAGACCACCAGCTTCGTATCCCATACCAATCTTCCTCTTCGTCTGGAGATCCTGAAACACACAGTAGGAAGAAAAAAAGATTACCGAACAATTAAGAGAACGAGTAATCTTGCTCATGGAAAGTAAGCTAAAGAGAAACTGGGGAACAAATAATACTAATGACAATGACACATCAGTACTTAATTGAGTAATCCCTACACCTAAAATTTTAGAGGAATTGTCATTAACAAGAGTAACACTATGTTGGGAATTGACAGATTGATAAGTAGAAAATACACTAGACGAACCGTTCATATGGTCAGACACGCCAGAGTCTATGATCCAGGGACTACGAGTAAAGGATAATAAACAAGTGGGAGTTGTACCTGACTGGACAAATATGGCAATAGAGGAGAATGGAACAACCTACTGTTGGGACATAAACTAAGTATACTCCTCGCGTGTAAGTGTAACCGTCCCAGAGTCAAGTTGAGCTGGATGTGAAGTATCATCCTGATAAGACGTCTGATTAGCAACACCTGAAGGCTTGCCATGTAAATCCTAACAATGATCAACGGTGTGTCCTCCACGACCACAATGAGTGCACAAGCGAGGACCAGACCTACCACCACGACCTCCAGAATGGCCACCACATCCCCTACGACCACCAAGGTTGCCCCGACTACCTCGAGAACTATCATTATGGCTAATAGGAGCAACAAGTGCGGAGCGGTCATGAGATAAACTACGGTCAACACCAGATGTCTCGGTAGACAATGTAACACACTGTAAACGGGAGAAAACCTCAAGCAAATATGGGAGACTAGAACTGCCTAAAATATGAGAACGAACAGCCTCATACTCAGGTCTCAAACCCATCAAAAAACGAACAACATTCATATCTTCATGCTGTTTTTGCCACACTACAACATCAACGGTAAACGGGTGATAAAGTTTTAATTCCTCACAGACTCCCGTGACATGGGAATAATAATCTGCAATACTCAGATTGCGTTGTTCTAAACGAAAGTATTGTTGACAAACCTCATAGGCACGAGTAAAGTTACATGTACCCGAATACATAATAGCCAAATGGTCCCAAATTTCTCTGGCCATGTCCAGATAAAGTACCGTGGAGCTAATATTGGCCTCAAAATTATTCAATAATAAAGAAATAATCTGAGTATCGGCCTATTCCCACTCATCATAACCAGCCATACCATCTTTGGGTTTAGGGTCCACTAAATATTTCTTGAGACCTTTCCCTTTCAGAAATACCTGAACTGATCGTGACCATAAAACATAATTTGTCCCATTAAGCTTGACAGATATCATAGGACCATTAAATAGAGCAGCAGAAGACAAACCAGGTAGCACAACTGGAGA